ACGAAAAGAAAGTCACCCACAACATGGCCTGCTTCCAAGCAATCACCCTAATGAAGTGGGAGGATTATCTTGACTTGGTTCCCTCCTTCCACGTCTTGAAGCTTCAACCAATCGAGTTTCCAAACCGGGCATTGCCCCTGCCTCACGCTTTACCCTTCTTTCATGTCCTGAGCAACCGATCCAGTAGGTTCACCACCGTCCATCGCAAGTAGCTTTAGTGGCACTTCACTAACCCATCTCATCTCGCACCAAACACATAAATCCCTGATCCTCAAATAATCTTAGTCCTACCTATTTTAAGATAAAGTCGGCAACAAGAACAACGCAACGAAGGAATGAAAGACCTACTATATATGTGAAGCTTGTTAGCATGCACAATCCCCATTAGGAAAAGGAGCTAGTGTTACTACTATTGGATCAAGCGAGAAGCTAGCAGGGGGTGACACGGCAATCAAACATGACGGTGTTTGTTCTTTGGAGAGCAACGAAGAGAGGGGAAGCAATGTCCTTTTTTTTGGTCCACTCGAGTGGCATGCAGGGACTGGGACTGGGACTGGTCGCTGCGGCACCGGCAGAGCAAACCGTGGTCGGCCGTCGACGTCCGTGGAATTCTGCGGGAATTAAGGGGTCGCCCCGGAGGACCAATACGGTTCAGATTAGTGGGCGGCCGGATTCGATTAACGAGACAGCCCGGTTCGCGAGGCGGAAGCGGAGGCGTCGCTTGGGCCCAGGGCGCTAATCCATTTTGGGTGCATGAAGCAGAGAGCTCGGGATCAGGGTCAAACATACACGGTTTCTCAGCTCATGGTCTGACTCATCACTCGTCAGCACAGGGGCATTCTCGTGTAGTCAAAAAAATTAGACTCTGGATGATTACTAAGGCCTTGTTTAGATTGCAAATTTTTGCAATCCGGATACTGTAGCACGTTTTGTTTGTATTTGACAAACTTTGTCCGATCATGGACTAACTAGGCTCAAAAGATTCGTCTCGTGATTTACAACCAAACTGTGCAATTAATTATTTTTTTATCTACATTTAATGCTCCATACATGTGTCCAAAAATTGATGTGATGGAGAGAGAGTGAAAAAACTTGGAATTTTGATGGGATCTAAACAAGGCCTAACATATGTGTTGAACTTATTTAATTAGGCTTAGCCCATTTTTAAATAAATCTTAAAGGCTCATACTGAATGCTACATGCATTAGTGTTTTAGTCCTGTATAAAACATTGAGTAAATGTTGATTAACTCAAATAAATGACTTGTGTGTGTGCACCTATGGTAAAGTTGAGGGCCGAAGGGTGTGCAACGAGCTCGCGTCGAACTGAGCCGAGGCGTGGCATGAGCGTGCTGGAATCATCGACTTGGTAGTTACCGGGAGAGAAATCATAGTGGGAGTTATTGTCCATTTCTCTATGATTACTCGGTCCCTAAGTAACTAAGCCCGCGCGCGCCATGACATGACGTGGTACAGGGTGGCTGGTTTTGACCACTTCGCCGAGTCATCAAATCGGCAAGTTATCAGGAGAGAAATCGCGGTGGGAGTTACTCTCTGTTGCTCCATGGTTACTTCGTCCCATTAATAACATAGTGTCTAGGTGCATCGCCCCGTCTCTCTGTTTTCTTGCCTATTGGCATGTGATTACTCAGTCCCAACCGAGCCTGTCACTCCATGACATGATGTGGTTTGGGGTAGGCCTAGTAAGCGATCCCACCGTGGCATGACATGGTGTAGGGTGGGCTGGTTTTGCCACTTGGGCCGTTTGATAAAGTCATCAAATGGGTAGCTATTTACAGAGAAAGCACAACAGGAGTTGCCATCCGTTACTCAACGATTACTCCATCCTAGCAACACCAAAACATCTAGGTGCATTTTCCCGTCTCTCCGTCTTCTCTTCAACTGGTGCATATAAGGGCACAGACATCTGAAGCCTTGCATGGACGTCAACACCAGAACCACCTCACCTTCTTCTCTGTTTCTGTTGGTCTTGAGTGTTCCCTGTTCTAACTCTGCACGCAAAAAGGTTGGAAGAGCAAACCTCTAAAATCGATGCTCGTCTATGATACGTGCTTGAGTATGCCGGCGAATCAGGTTTTAGGGAGCACGAGATCATGCAAATGCTCTTGTTCGTCTTCTTTTCGCCGACTAATACTACTTCGTCTTCTTTTTGGTTGTCGTTCATGGGACTGCACAGCGGACAATTACCTACACCGACTGAGGTCTACGATTTCAAGCAACTCATTATGTCAACTAGTGAGAAAAGGTGCCGCCAATATTCCCGACACTGGTTCTGCCTCTAGGTATACTTGTGTTCTTGTTGGATTAGTTAGACTGAGTATTGCTATGGTTATGTTCAATATGTTTATCATTAGTTATATAAAGGTGAATTATTTTTATATCCTTATTAATATAAAAAGTAATGGTATTAGTTATTGTTTTTAAATATTTAAAAGACACATATTATATATCACTGGTCATATCAATTGAAATTTAACATGATTAATCATATGAAATTAATGTTATTAGTTATATAAAATTAGTTAAATTTTAATCTATATACAATTAACGTTATTAGCCTTTACTTTTAAATAGGTTTAATGGTGCGTATTATAAGGTTACAAAATCAATATTATTAGTCATCAATTATAGGAATAATTCTTAGATAGTTTCACCTGGTACTATATTCTTCACGGATACACATGTTGTAGGATATCTTCAAATATAGATATGAAATTAAATAGAGAAAAATAAGAGAAAATAGATTCCAACATGTCTATTTAGTAACATATTATAAATTTTAACGGAAACAGATTGGATTAATTCGAATATGCTGATATCCATTTCCATCCCTCGCTTCCGTCCGCGCCTAGCCATCGGACCGGGACGGACCGGGAGAATCACGTTTGTTTTTCCTTTTGGCGCGTGTGTGTATATATATATATATATTTTTTGTCCTCTTCGTTTATCTTATAATCCGAACTTTTCAACTTATTTTTTTAGTCAGAATCACTATTTTTCTCTCACGACGAATGAACCGGAACAGTGTTTTAGTTTTTTTTTTTTACTGTCTTTTCCTGATTTCCTCAGCCGAGCGCCTATCCCTTCTTCCGTCAATTCAGTGGCTTGGCACGACGACACGTCGCCTGCACACCCACGCAGTTATGTGCACGCAACTATGGCATGCAGGGTAGGGCAGTCAGGCAGTCAGAGGCGCAGAGCTCGAGCTGGGACTAGTGGAGTAGAGTGGGTAGGGACCTTGTCCTGCTCGAGATCATCGCCGTCTTTTTTTGTCTGCATCTCCTGCCAGCTTGCTTTGCACCAAAGCGAGCCGGCCAGCGAGCGAAAGCTGCTCTCCCTCCTGCCGTTGACGTGCGCCGTGTGCCGCGGGGAAAGCCGCGCGCATGCGTGCGCGACAGGAGAGATCCACGGGTGTTTCCACTGGCACCATGTTCTCTTGCGACGTCTCTCTAGAATATAGACAAGTCACGGCAGCGAAGAAGGTCGGAGTGCATCCATCATCGCATCGCAGTCGGCCCGAAGTCCTCATCCGAGATGGTATAATATTGGAGCCCACAGCCCAGCCCATCTGAAAGCCGTATCAATCACCCACGCCACTGCCCGCACCTTTCGGCCCGACATCAGCCTAACATGGCCCGCTAGGAGTCAAGCCTATGCCAACCTAGCCCATGAGCCCATGAATCATTTTGTAATTTTCAAAACAAGACTCCATATAAATATTTTTAAAATTATTAAGTAGTATTTTCTTCATGAAGGTAGAAAAACTGTCGTTTGCTGAGTACAGGCTATGTTTTAGGTTCAAGATAAAATGTCTCGTCTTCACATGGGAGATGTTCTGTGTTCAAGAGAACAATATTTGAGATTTAGGATAAAAAATCTAGGTTCATACGAATGACTTTATAATATCTATGAAAAATAAAAAAGATAGATAACAAAAGCTATGATATATATATATATATAAATAAATAAATAAATAACATAAATACAAAAATAGTAAAAGATAGAACAAAGCATAAAAGAAACCAAAATAACAAACATAAAAAGGCACGTAATAGAGCAAAATTAAAAAGACATCACATGGATACTATTTTGACGACCTAAAATATAACATAGAACATTTCATGCGTATTATATGGCTACTCAAAGATAATCGTGGAATATGTCATGTATACTACAACCCTCTTTGGCATAGCTCTAGCTCTAAGATCTATGTTGGATATGTACTTTATAGACTAAATTAAAGTGGTTTATTATTTTTATTTAATTAAATATAAATGAAATGACTCATGTAAATGCACTTAACATGCCTGCAGCTCTAGATTTAGGATTTTCTAGAGCTATAGATGACCACCTCTAGGGAATGCACACAATTCCTAGAGCTAGAGCTCTACGAAATAGGTCCTATGTGAACATCCCAAAATACCTCATAAAACATGATATGTGTCTCGTGGAATGTACGAGATAAAAAAGAAAAAAATAATATTAAAATATTTAATGAGAGTAAAATAACAAAGATGGAAAAAGGGAAATGAAAATAAATAACAATTTCTATGAAATATATAGAAAAAATAAATAAATGAACAAATTAAATAAAAAATAAATTTAATAAAAGATATAATTAACAAAATATTAGGGGAATAAAAAATAATAAAATGGAAAAAAATCCCACCTAATAGAGGAAAATAAAAAATAACATCACATGGATACTACTCAAACATCCTAAAATGCCACATAATATCTCACGGATACTATGTGAACAATGAAAGATACACATGAAACATCCTGTTCATGCTATGTAAACATCCTAGCTAGAATACATCATGGAATATATCTCATTGGTGTAGTGTGAATAAACAAAAATACAACATAGAAGATAACATGTATACTGCTCAAGGTTGTTTGAGTTATTTCTGAATTCCACTATATGCTCAAGGTTGCTAGACTATCACTGAAACTGTGTAAATTAAGTAACCCTGTGCACTAGTTGTGCCGGAGGTAGACGTTGTACTCGACAGTTGCATCGCCGGTCTTGGCATCGAACGAGTAGGTCCGGGCCTGGCAGTAGCCTCGCGCGAACCGGAACGCGCCGGTCCCGCCGACCACGGCCATCTCCCTGACGGCCATGGCCGCCTGGTTGGGCCCGACGACGGCGACGCTGCTGCCGTTGTAGGCGCTGCCGTCCCCGAACACGAAGGTCATGGCCATGAGCAGCGACAGGCTGTCCTTCCCGGCGCAGACGTACATGCCCTGTGCGCGGCCCACGACCCTCGACGACGCCGTCGCCAGGTCGGGCCCCACGGTGAGCGGGTCGTCCATGACGTAGACCGCGCCGAAGCTCGTGGCGGAGGCGTTGGTCGTCGCGGCCTCCGCCACCCGCGCCACCGTCGGGCTCGCCCCGCTCATCACGTCGTGCCAGTAGAACCGCAGGTGCGTCTCCTTCTCCGCCGCCGCTGACGCCGAGGCAGCGAGTAGCGCCAGCAGCACGACGGCCACGGAGGAGGAGACGGCGCAACTGCTCGGCGACGGCGAGGCAGCCGTCATAATCGATGTTGGTTGTGGACTGTGGTGAGAACTCGGCGAGGCTCGAGGATGTTGGTTTTCTGCGTAAGGAGCGTGGCAAAAAGGAGGTGTGAGCATGGTATATTTTGACTTGACTTCATACACGCGGTTGGTGCAGTGGAGAACGTAGTATTTACACAACTTTTAGGTGGTTGCAGCTACCAGTGGAGTAGTTATCAGTGAAGTTGGCAGCCGACAGTGATCTTTCTTGTTTTTTTTTTCGTTGGACAAGTGTACGTGGTAGGTGATCTTTTCTTCGTTGAGAAGAGTGTGAAAGTGTTAGAAATAAACGCGCATGCGTGTTAGGTAACCGCGCACTAGAAACGCGTACGCGTTAGGTGATGACGCAGTTTGTTGCACTTAATCCTTGAAGCTGGGGACTATCTGCAGGAGTATTTGTCAACTACAAAAGCATATGCACCTCTGCTATGTTTTGCTCATCTAGAGCATATTTGGACCTGAACTAGTCATTAGTTCAACTAAAGGTACTAGTCATTAGTTCAACTAAAGGTTAGGTGATTAAAATTTAGACGATTAAAGTTTAGTCCTATGCTGTGTGGATACATGGACTACACTGAGGGACTAAGAGCAACTTCAAGAGGCTTTGTAAATTTAGATATTAAAAAGTAAGAAAAAAATCAGCTCTTAAAATCAATTTAGGCTCTCAAAATAGTAACATACACAACAATAGAGTCTCTAAAACTAGCTCTCTACTGTTTAAACCTTCAACATCATTGGTCGTTAACCGAATTTGACCATACTAGCATTAGAGTATTATTTGCAGCACTTTCACATGCTCAATGCAGAAGGAAACGTGTGAACACAAGGTTGATATGTGCCCTTATGTGTCGAGTTTTGATGAGCGATTGTCAGGAGAATGATCGGCTTTGGTTGAGTTTGGAGACTAACCATTGCGTGAGTGCGAACACAAGATTGGAGACTAATCTATATGCAGAGGCAGGCATATAACCGCCTCTAGAAATGTGGATTAATAGTGACGTGGGACCAGAGGCGGGCTACCTGCATGCCTCTGGAAATCTATTGTCACTGTCTGTAAAAATCTTTAAAGCAGTAGTGATTGTCACTAGTCTAGAAGAGCTTGTTGTCACCTCCGCCAACTAGCCGGCTAGATTGTCTTTGTCTACATGACTCTATGAAGAAAAAGTTCATTCTACCTTCATGAACTATTCTCATAGTCTATTTTTTCTCCTCAAACATCAAAATCATATGTCTTGCTCTCTTAATAACTCTCAAAACTGTTTAAATTGTCCCCCAACCTGGTTTGTAGTGGTTTTGAAGGCGGTTGTATCTTCTTTTAGTTAAAAATGATAAATACTTGATATGGCTAATAAATCACAAAAACTGCCTTTGAGCTTCTAAAACTTATTAAAATTATAGATATAGATTGGAATATGACAAATCCAAATAAAATATTTAGAGTTCATGAAAGTGTCTTTAGAAGCTTCCATAACTAGATTTAGCTATAGTAAAATAGAAAAAATATCCCAAAAATCTAGAAAATTTCCAAAACATTATAATTGATGCATAAACATGTTTCGAAAGCTTTGCACACCAAAAAATGTAAGACACAACCAGCATGAATGCCTATCATGACTGCATTCAACATAAATGTACGTTGCATTCATGCTAGTTGCATCTCATATTTTTGGAGTACAAAGTTTCTAAACATGTTTAGACATTGAGTAGAAAGTTTTTGAAGTTTTCTAGATTTTTTGGATATTTCTCTAATTTTTGTAGAGCTAAATCTAATTCTTTGAAGCTTCTAGATTTATTTTCACAAGCTCTAAATATTTTACTTGGATTCTTCATATCCCAATCTATCTCTATGATCTTTGTTAGTTTTTTTATAAGAATACAAATATTTTATATGATTTAGAAAACCTTGTCAAACATTTACCAATTTTTACTAAATAAAGATAAAACTATCTTTAAAACAAGTTCAAATCAGGGTAGAGAGGTAATTTAAATGATTTTGAGAGTGTATAGGTTTTGAAGTTTTAGGGGGTGTTTGGCATGGCTCCTTCTGAGGAGTTGGAGCCGTTTTGGAGGAGAACGGCTCCGGCTCCTCTGCCTTTTTTTTGGCGGGGCTCCTCCGGAGGAGCCAAAAGGAACCCTGCCAAACCGGCCCTATAAGAAAAATCAGACTACAATGATATAATTTATGGAGATGGAAATTGACCTTTTTTCCCCCTCTACGTTTCTATAGTAGTTTTTAAACATCAAGCAAATAAACACACACCATCCGATGACCCAGCCCAACTACTCATGCACCGACTCGTTGCCAATGGATCTCACGTTGGGCCTCCTCTATAGAATCGGCAGCCCGAAACCCCCCAACTGGAAAGTTTACAGCGAAGGGGCAAAATAATTGTCCAATGAAGAATTACAAAATTTAAAACATGTCCAATGGAAAAATTGAATGAATTGAATCAAGTTAAGGCCTTGTCGCTGTTTATTGCCTCCTCCTCGACCTAGTCCAATTTTGCATCCTGCCCTGGACTACAAGGACACCCGCTCTAGATGCGATTCGTTTAGAGGTTAAGCTTTATTTCATCTCAACGAGAAGGTAGGTATTATCTTCATTTCAAATTATGACATTTTAGATTTTATAGATACATAGTTTTTACTATATATTTAGAAAAATATATATCCAGATGTGTAGCAAAAGTTATGTATCTAAACAACTAAGAACGATCTATAATTTAGGATGAACAGAGTAAATTTTAGCAAAGGTATCGCTAATACACAAATCTTTTTTTACTAGCACCGATTTCTTACATTGATGGTTCACATAAGAAACCACCTATGTCAATAGAATATCATCGGCAGTCCTTCGAGGGGTATCCCATGAAGGTAGATTGATCGGCAGAGATGCGTGTAATCGAGAACAAGAAGGCAACAGAGACACAAGAGTTAGACAGGTTTAGGCTGTCAGCGTGACGTAATACCCTACTCATGTGGTCTGTTGAATTGTATTGACTATCGTATGATATTGCGTGTGTTTGGAGGGGGTCCCTGCTCGCCTTATATAGTCCGAGGGCAGGGTTACAAGTCGGTTAGATCTGGGACATAACTGGAAAGTAATAACAGATTACAAGAATCATGGGATCATACGTATCCTAACAGATATCGCAGTATCTTCAAGATATCTTTCCGGTGTCTTGCGGGACGCGCCGAGCAGTGCTGTGCCCCGCAAGGCTTCGTCTTATGGGCTAGGCCGCCCCTAGGGGCGCAGCCCATGTGGTCTGCCGTGGGTATTCGGGGTCGTACCCCCCACAGCTAGTCCCCAAGCGCCTTGCATCCGTTGTGCAACGCCGTCTTGAGCTTGTTCGAGCAGGTGCAAACAAAGCCGAGCAGTCAAATTCATGGTCCGACCACCGTGATGAGTTGTCGAGCAGTTGTGAACCGTCGTCGAGCAGTGTGAACTTTCGCCGAGCAGTGTATCCCAAGTTAGGCTTGCCATAAGGATGTAAGGAACTCAAGTCCAAAATCGAAAATTTCCTCACAGTGGACCAAGTGTGCCCACTTAGAGTCCATCCATGAGAAAGGGAGATAGTCTTCTTCAACTTCAAGAGGCGCGGAGTTTTCTAGATTAAAGCAAACACACTCACCGTGAGGTGAAGTGTGCCCACTTAGTCCCCGAGCCTAACAGTAGGTGACGTAGTCACGTGGTGCCAGGGTCCAAAGTAGAAGAAAGACAGAAGTCCAGCCGAGCAGGCAGCCAGTCCTAGGGCGCAACCCCGAGATGAGAAAAGCACATTCACCGCAAGGTGAAGTGTGCCCACTTAGTCCCCGAGCCTGACAGTAGGTGACGTTGTCACGTAGTGCCAGGGTCAGAAACAATAGTCAACAGAAGGAAGTCCCCAGTGCGGTGAGGAACCAAGTCATATTGCTGACGCAGTCCCTGAGCCACAAGTGGAAAACTTGGAAAAAACAAATCATGGAGAAAAAATCGGAGTAATGGTTGTACAGTAGTAATTACTGAGCCATCACAGATGGCGGAGAAGTCGGCGAATATTCAGTGAGTAGTAACAAATTGTGGCGATAAATGGGCGATACGGGCTGCAGTTGCGCGAAAGCCCAGGTAACGGCCCACCACGCTGTTTCGAAGAATTCGGAGAGGTGCAAATCGTGGAGCGGTTCCTAAAAACCCTCGAATGCGAAAGGTGGGGGGAGTGCTTTATAACTGTGCCGTCGCACCTCACGCTCCTACCTTTACCACTTTGCCATTTCATCTTCCTCCTCAGCCCTCGCACTTCCAGATTCATACGCGCTTCCGCCGCCAATCCCAAACCAGATATGAGAGATGACGCCTGTAAGGAAAATGGACCCTTGACCCATTTACTTTGGATTTTGGTGTTTGATGACCAACACAACCAAATTGGACTAATGAATTTGCAAGTGTTTGTTTTGTAGTCCAATAGGGTGCAAGACGTGACTTGGACGAAGGCGACGTGATGATCCGATGATCAACACCTCAAGCAAGACCTTAGAAGCACAAGAAAAGACCCAAGATGTCAAGCAAAGTCCAAGCATGAAGATAGGAACCAAGCCGCGCATGCAAAGATCGCAAAGAAACGAGCTCATAGAGAGGCGATCGGACGCTGGACCGGACGCTGGAAGCGCGACCGGACGCTGGACCGGTGGTTTCAGCGAAGAAAGCGACCGGACGCAAGGACCGGACGCTGGCGGCAGAACCGACCGGACGCAGGAACGCAGCGTCCGATCGAATCTGAAGAGGTTCAGCGCTTGAATCGCGACGGACGCGTCCGGTGGAAAAGCGGGCGACGGACGTGGCGGCGTCCGATCGGTAGTTCAGCGGCTGCTAACGGTCGGGACGACCGGACGCGTCGGTCGGGACGATTCGGGCGTCCGGTCGAGCGAATTGCGGGAGTTCGACCCCAACGGCTACTTTCTCGATGGGGCTTATAAATACAACCTCCAACCGGCCATTTGAGGTG